CTCTGACCCTGCACGGTGCCCGCACGGTGGCTGCAGAAGGTACGCTAGCTGGTGGCTGGGCAGTGTCCTGGGAGGGTAACGGGGCAGAGAGGGAGCGGTGTCCAGGACATGCGGCTCAGCTCTCTGCCAGCTCGGAGCCTCCGCCAAATGTGGGGGGTGGGGGCTACCTCCTCAGCTGAGGGGAGGCCCTGAGTGAGGAGCTCCTCCAAACCGTCAGCAGCTTCTAAACGCTGGACACTTACAGTGGCCAGTCTGACGGGTTGGCTTTGCGTGCCATTTCTTGGTGAGGAAACCGAGGCACAGTGTAAGGCAGTAGGTCACCGAGGTGGGACTCGGGCTCAGGCAGCCTGGTTCCCACGCGCGGGCTGGCAATCACAGTGCTCGGTAGCTGTCTGGTCAGAAAATCAGAACCTAGCCCCCAAAGCCCTCCCCCAGCCCGATCCGTCTGCCCCACCTCTGCAGGCAAGGGTGCGCCTGGTCTGGCAGTGCATCGATCTGGTTGCTGGCTTCCCTCACAGCAGGCAAACTACAGCCAGCGGCCTGTGCGTGTGCATGCGCGCATGCATGCATTTTTGTGTGTGCATGCACGCATGTGTGCACGAGTGTGCATGTGTGGGCGCGTGCATGTATGCTTGTGTGTGTGCCTGTGTGTTACCCCTGGGAGCAGCAGTAGGCAGCTGTGAGCCTCACCCCACCCCACCAGGGGGCAGTGTGAGTGTGGGATGAGGACGAGATCGGCTATCTGCTGGGAGCGCTACTCAGGGGATGGAAGCGGGCAGCTAAGACACATCCATTTTAGCCACATCAAAATGCCACGTCCCTAACATTGACAGTACTGCCCTATTTCTGTCTGCCCTACTAAGGGGTTCCCTGGGCAGGCTCCCCACTTCTAAAGCCCAAACCTGGGGTCTCATTCCCACCCGCTATCTGTAGCGTTGGGTCCCTGGGGCAGGAGGCCCCAGACAGGCAGAAATCATGGGCTGGAGAAGGGGGGCCCTTGACCCCACTGAGGATGTCCTTTGCCTTGTTTTTTCTTAGCCAATACTGTGACCCCCTCCATGGCCTACCTGAGTGAGTATGCGCTGCCTGCCCCGGGCCCTGCCCACTGCCCACTGCCCAGAGCACTGCTGCCTGGCTCCCTCCAGGGCCCCCACCTGAGCCACATCTCAGGACAGACAGATGGGGGTGATGTGGGAGGGTGGGAGCATTTCTGAGCCAGAAGGGGAAGGTGTTTGAGCCCAAATCTGAGTGGGGGTCCTGGAGACCCTTGGGGCTTCTGGTTCCAATTAGCTCACTCCTGCTTTGTGTCCACAGCAAACTACCAGCCTCCACAAACCCCCTACTACTACGGTAAGTCCTGCAACAGCACCTTCTGCCTCCCAGCCCTGCCTGCCTCCCTGCCTGTCTCCCTGCAAGCCACCCCATGGGCCCAGGGGTCGGGGAGGTCCCAGGAGGCACCCCTTCTCTGATGTTCTTTTAGTGGATGGAGACCCCCACTTCATCATCCAAGTCGCGGAGGAAGACGATGCCATTTGCTTCAACATCAATGAAGACCCGGGCACCGTGCTGCGCCTCATCCACGACCCAGCCACAGGTGGGCCACGCACATGCACGCACTAGCCCTCCCCCCCACCCAGCGAGCTGCCCGGTTGCTGGTGGCGTGGCAGACACAAGTAGAGTTATGGCGTTAACCTGGGGCTGGAACCCAGCCTGTGTGGCTTAGGAGTAGCTTCTCTCTGGACTAAGAAGAGTTCTCCTCCCTGGAGCAGCTGAGGGGCGGGTCCACAATGTGGGCCTTTAGCAGCCAGCACGGCCTACTGCACCCCGGGACAGACAGTGCTGGCCTCTGGCATCTGCCCTTCTCTGAGGGCCCCACCTGAGGGCCTCCCTGAGCAGGCTTGGCCCAGGGAACGCTACCAGATGGCATTCAGAAATGGACTCCGGAGTGGACTCAGAAGGTATCCTCGATCTCGCCCTCCCCGTGCCCCCGGCAGGCCTCACAGTCAACGGCGAGATCATTGGGGACAAGGAGCCCAGCCCTGACCCCAAGACCCGAAGGACTTACTTTGGGAGGCTGGGCATTGCCAACCCTCATATGGACCTGCAGATCGAGGTGACGACGGAGACCCTCAGCCTGGGGAGTGGGGCCACACGGAGCACTTTCAGCTGGCTGGACACAGTCATGATCGCGCAGGATGGGTACGGCCCCTCCCCTAGGTCTCCTGGGGGTGCCACAGCCCCAGGGTCTGGACGAGACACCCCCACCGCATCCCCCAGGGGGTCTTAGGGGCTTGGAGGTCTGTCCCTGCTCTGGGAAGGGACCTGCATGGGCCTCTCATGCAGGGCTTGTGAGAGACACAGCTGGTAACTGGACTGGTTCTGAGAGTGACCCTGCGGGAAAGGTTCTTGATGGCCGGCCTGGCACTCAGATAGACACTAAGCCAGTATGATGAGGAAGAGCCTGCTCACATCTTCTCCGGCTGAACTGTGACCTTTCCAGCTCCCAACCTTCCCTGGTCTTCACAGGCCCAGAGCCTGCTGGGCAGGGCACGCGTCTCACCCCCAGTGGTTCAGAGGGTGGGTGGAACCCGCTCCAGGTCACGCCAGAGTGAATGACAGACAGGACCGAGCCCCAGGACTCTGGTCCCCCAGGACAGCCTTCCTCCCTGCGCACACAAGGAGTCAGACTCCATCGGGGGTGGGGTGGGGGGCAACCTGGACGCAGCTTCTCGCCCACATGGGCCAGCTGGTTTGGGGCATCTGTGTGCCTCCTCGCGTCAGGCATAGGGAAACATGCTGCCAAGATGCCCTCTGACCCAAGTCCTCGTCCCCCCAGGATGTTGGTGGCAATCCACAGGAATGAGAACATGACAGTCTCCTTTGGGGATGGGGCCACCTTTGTGATCGTCCTGCACCAGGTGTGGAAGAAGCACCCCACCCACCGTGACTTCCTGGGCTTCTATGTGGTGGACAGCCACCGGATGTCGGCACAGACACAAGGGCTACTGGGTACGCACCATCCCGGCGGCAGTGGTTCCGGCCACGTGGTGGCCTCAGCCTCAGCCTCAACCCTGAGTCTGGGTTCCCCTGGTGATGACCAGGTGCTGACAGAGTGGACGTTTGTATTTCCAGGACAATTCTTCCACCCCTTTGACTTCAGCGTGTCTGATGTCCACCCTGGCTCTGATCCCACGAAGCAGGATGCCACGATGGTGGTGAAGAACCGCCGGCTGACTGTCACCAGGTGAGGGGTCCTCCAAGCCCACCCAGCCACAGGGAGAGAGGCAAGGGCCCTTCTGAGCAGGCATCTTTGCATGATAGACTCTTGTCAACTTTGGGGTCCTCTTGTTTTCCTCTGGGGTCTCATTCCTCTCTGACCTTCCCTGACCAAGAAACAGGCCACACTGGCTCCTCTAGAACAGTCGTAGGTCTCTGACTCAGGTGACCAAAGATTTCTGGGGGGGTCTCAGAACTGCCCCCCAATTAACTCTAGATCCAGGCCATCATCAGCTGCTTTGTCCCCCCTGTCTAACTGCGTCTGCCTCCTTTCTCCCAGGGGCTCCCAGAAAGACTACAGGAAGAAGAGCCACACTGGCACCAAGGTCCCCTGCTGGTTTGTCCACAACAATGGAGAAGGGTTTATTGACGGCGTCCACACTGACTACATTGTCCCCAGCCTGTTCTGAAGGGACCTGCCCACTCGGCTGTGGACGTCTGGGTCTGTGGGAGGGGCTGAGCAATAAAGCTTGCAATGAAAAGCAGCCGGCCAGCCACCAGCCTGCGTGCCTGTAAGAGCTCATCATCCAAGGGAGGCACAGCGGGGATGGAGGAAACTTGAGGGAGGGGATGGCTGCGAGGAAGGCTATGCCCTGGGCCTCACATATACAGCTGAAGGTCAAGATTTGGTGGGCAACACTTGGGGGAGCCAAGCGTATGATAACGTTTGGAAGGAAAATAAAGACTTGAGTCTAGAGAAAAGGAGTGCCCAGAAGCTGGACAGGGTTGAATGCATAGCAGAGTTCAGTAGGATCATAAGACAAGTGAGGAGCCATAAGTTAGCAGCTCCTATTAGGACCTTCAGGCTTAAAAGACCTTCTAAGACTCAGAAACAAGGAGTGTTCTAGAGAAAACACAGCTCACAGCTAGATGAAGATGTCATCCATCCTTTCATACTCCCAATTATCTACCCATCCAACTATCTATCCAACAATCTACCTATCCACCCATCAAAACACCAATCCCCACAAAATCTTACCATCCATTCGCCCACCCACCTAACCACCCATCCAACCAACCAATCATCCATCCATCCAACTAACCATCCATCCATCTACCCACCCATGCACCTATCCAGCCATCCATCCAACCAACTATCCATCTACCCATCCACCATCCAACCAATCAATTATCCATCCATCCAATGAATTACTCATCCATCCAATCAACCAACCAATCATCTATCCATCCATCCAACCAATCATCCACCCATCCACCATCCATTTCACCAAGCAACCAATCATCCATCCAACCAATCACCCATCCACCCAACCAATCATCCACCCAACCAATCACCCATCCACCCAACCAATCATCCATCCAACCAATCATCCATCCATACCCCATCCATCCATCCATCCATCCATCCATCCATCCATCCACCCATCCATCAAACCAACCAGTCATCGAACCATCAAACCAACCAGTCATTCATCCAATCAATCATCCATCCATCCATCCACTTATCCAACCAACCAATCAATTATCCATCCATCCATCCATCCAACCATCCATCCAACCAACCAATCATCCAACCAACCATCCATCCATCCACCTATCCATCAAACCAACCAGTCATTCATCCATCCATTCATCCATCCATCCACTCACCCAACCAACCAATCATCCATCCATCCATCCATCCATCCAACCAGCCATCTATCTACCCATTCACTATCCATCCATCTAATCAACCAATCAATCATCCATTCATCCAACCAATCATCCATCCATCCATCCATCCATCCATCCATCCGTCATCCAACCATCCAACTAATCATCTATCCACCCATCCAACCAACCATCCATCCATCCATCATCCAACCATCCAACTAATCATCTATCCATCCATCCAACCAACCATCCATCCATCCATCCACCTATCCATCAAACCAACCAGTCATTCACCCATCCATTCATCCATCCATCCACTCACCCAACCAACCAATCAATTATCCATCCATCCATCCATCCATCCATCCACCATCCATCAATCCATCCATCAAACCAACCCATCCATCCATCCATCCATCCATCCATCTGTGGGAAACTAACACTGAGGGTAATATGACTGGGACTTATTCCCTGATTAGTACAGAGGGAATCTGGAAAACTAGTATTCCACGGTAGGAAAGCTGCCACTTTGGAAAGTTAGAGATAGAGTCCAAGTACATGTTCCTGCGTTAACTATCTTTTTCCACAGATTTCCCCCTTAAATCTGTGCTGCCCTAAAGAGAGCACATGGTTGATTCTGTCCCCTATAGAAGCAGACATTCCTATTTGCTCTCTCTTCCCGCCCGGCATCCAACCCCTCTCATACCTTCCCCCACAAATGGCGTCCATCGTGGGGCAGTAGGAAAAGGACTCTTGAGTTGTACCCAGTGTAACAACTGTACGGCCCCACGGGACGGTAGAGTGAATCGGGGAAATTGTGTGAAGTGAGGATCCGGTGTGGGGATTAGCAGGTAAGAAGGAATAAGAATAGCAGTATAATATCTTAAAGAGGACAATGGGCAGACGGAAGTAACCCTAAGACTTATGCTACTACTCTCACACATTTACTGAAAAACAGAAGGTAGCAGTAATGAATAAAAAAGACGCAAGGTTTTCTACAAGTGGTGAAAAAGTATAACCCATGGTTCCCAGAGGAAGGAACTTTAGATCTAGGAACTTGAGGAAGTAGGTAGGAACTTAAAGAAAGCACACAGAGAGGGCTGAGTACTCCCCGGAGACCTGGTCTCAGTGGGCTCAAGTTAAGATGGTGTTCCAGCCTCGACAGACAGAGCAGGAGAGGCCTGAAGTCAACTATCCGACATTACACACGCAGGTGAAAGTGACCCAAAATGAGTAGGAGATAGTTGAGAAGGTTTTAGAAAAACTGAAGGAATTAGGTCTGATTGAAAGGATGGCCTAGCAGTGGCTCGTGCCTCAGCCCCACCTGAGGACTGCAACTCAGAGGGGCCAGGAAGCCTTAAAACAAAGGGAGCAGATGAGGGTGAGGAGGTTCTAAGCATGACAAAGTACCTTTGCTTTCAAAGGCTGAGAGAGGTACTGCAGAAGACGGAGACTTAGAGACCAGACTAGCTTTTCCTGTGCATGTAATAGAAAGGCCACCAGATGCAGACAACCCTCAGGGCTATCAAGAATGGCAGTATGGCAGCTTCCCAAGGGCTCAAGTAGAAAGCAAATGTTTTGAGAATGTTGAGGCAACAAATGTACAAAGGTGCTTGACACAATGGATGCCTGTATGGATTGTGATAAGTGTTGTACAAGCCCCCCCCCAAAATGATTTTTTTAAAAAAATTCTAAAAGACATCCAACAGGCAGTGGCGAGCTACGGACCAGGCTCCCCTTTTGTAGTCAGCATGATTAGATCCCTAGCGGAGGCTCGATGTCTAATCCCCGTGGATTGGAATGCAGTGGATTGCTTGCAATGCCGTATCTGGTGGGAGCCCAAACCCAGGCTAGAAAAAATGTGGATGGAACAGAAAAATCTATCACAAGGAGAGATCAGCTTATGGGGAGTGGTCATTTCATCACAGTGGAAACACAACTGCAGGTCACCAAACAAGTGTGCTCACAGACACGTGATGGAAACAATAATACTGTCAGGAGGCAGATGGCCCAGTGACACGGCAGTGAGGCAGAAGGATGACGAGCCTTATGTAGAGTTTGTGTCCAGGCTGCAGTTTGCAAAAAAACGCGGCAGTCAACAGCTCGGACAATCTCATTATTACATTAGCATATGAGAAGGCGAACCCATGGTGTCCATCTGTCATACATCCATTCAAGGAACAGAGCTCGCTCCTCGATTATCTCAGGACATGCAGGCCTGGAGGGACACATGAATACAGGTGAGTGCTTCATCCCTTAGCGAAGGTGGTCATTTCCAGAAAGAATGCCGGCAGTGTGCACCAAGCAAATGGGAAGCTAAGAGAGGACGGGGCCAGGACTAGAAGAAGGGCCTGGGCCGGGGGCCAGAGGCCCTGGACTGTGCCCTTGCTGCAAGAAGGGAGATCACTGGGTGAGCCAATGTCACTCGAGATTCAACATTGAGGGAATCCCATTGGTGAGCACTTCCCAGTCCAGAGACCTGTGGCAGGACTGCTCTGAGCCCCACCCAGCAGAGCCCTGAGACTCTGTCCCTGCTGAACCCAGCACCAGGAGGTGCACTGGGGCCAGTCAGCCTCATCACTCAATCACAATGCCGGGTGGGGGGAAGGGAAGCTCTTCGATAGATTTAAACAGCCAAGACAAATTTCAGCTCATTCCAGGCACCCTGCCAGAAATTATTGGGATCGGAATTCGAGGCTGCTGCCAACTTAAGGGATAGATACCACCTAACATGGGCATAGGCTAGGCAGATCATCAGAGTGTCCTCACTGCCAGCACGCCTCACTCAGAGAAGGCCCTCACGGGGTAAACCCACGTGGTGACCAGTCGAATGCCATGTGGCAGATGGGTGTCACTCACATACCCTCATGTGGACGCCCACGGGCTGTGCATGCCACAATAGACTCATTCTCAGGGTTTCTGTGAGCATCAGCCATGCCTGGAGAACCCACAAAATATGTCATCAGCCACTTGCTGCCCTGTTTCGCTGTTGTGGGCACTCCTACACACTTACAGACAGACAGTGGCCCTGCCTACACTGGCAAGAGATTCCACAGTGTCTGTCACGATTGGGATATTCATCACACAACAGGGATCCCTTACAACCCCGAGGCCAAGCCCTCATTGAACGGGCTCATGGCACACTGGGAATGCAATTGTCTAAACAGAAGGGGGAAACGAAAGGTGAGACAGCACACAATGAACTCCACTTGGCCCGAATGACGCTAAATTTCTTCTCACTTCCAGAAGATTCCAATGTAACTAGGGCGGAGAAACACTTTCCCACCCCACAGGGAAAGCCGACCTGGAGAAAAGCTGGTGGAAGAACGACGATGGGGGTGGGGGTGGGGGTGGACACCAGGCTTGCTGGTGACCAGGGGTAGAGGCTATGCTTATACTCTTTCAGATGGCGGGGAAAACAGATGGATCCCCCTCAGAAGAGTCCGCCCACGGATTGAGAGGGGCAAGGAAAAGGAAGGCCCCGCCTAGCCACTCTGATCCCGACTCTGTGCCAGTCAAGGAGATGGCAGCCCTCTCCATGAGTAAGAGACTCCGCAGTACCAAACACTCGACAACTCACCCCCCTAACTGGAGACAGATGAAAGCTCTGAACCAGCAGGCACGAGCAACACCGCCAACACCGGCACCTGTGGGAATGTGCTCCTGGCAAGGGTGGCCGTTGTATCTGTCGCCACCGAGGTAAGTGCCAATCACTCCTATGGACTTAAGTCCCCCATGCCCCTCTACTAGTGATAGTGGAGTGGACCCAGACTGGCCCTGTCATATTTGTAAATGACTCTGTATGGACACCGGGGCCTTGGGGAAATGGAGTAGCCAGACAACCCGATGAAGAAGGCAGAAGTTTTCATTT